CCCCCCCCCCTGGCGCCCTGCGGGCGACCGGCTCCGCCCCTGGCGCCCGGCAACCTCTACAGGTTGGGGACCACTGCTCTATGGTCATGTCTACACTACAGATAAGATCAAGCAGCCACAGTCAGTCTTCCAGTGAAGAGACACTAATTTGAACTGAGAGGGATGCTCCCATCAATGGTGGCAGTCCCACTTCTTGAGTAAGAGCAAGTGTGGACATCACCAAAATTTGACTTAAGATAGTTTGGCTTAAGGTATGCTATTTACGAAGCTGAAGTTGCATGTCTTAATTTGACCTTATCCCCTAGAGTAGACCAGGGGCATGTATTTATCTAGCACTATTTTTTAAACACTGTTGAAGTCCTGATCTTCACAACATCCTAGCAAGGAGTTCCACAGGTTGACTGTGTGTTGTGTGAAGAAATGCTTCCTTTTGCTTCATTTAAACCTACTACCTATTAATTGCATTTGGGGACAAGTTTTCCTTATTTCATTTTCTCCACTCTAGTCATGATTTATTAGACCTCTATCATATCCCTCCTTATTCTTTCTCTTCCAAGCTAAAAAGAACCTGTCTTTTTACTCTCTCTTCACATGGCAACCATTCCATATCCCTAATAACTTTTGTTGCCCTTTTCTGAACTTTTCCCAGAGCCAAGATATCTTTTGAGATAAGGCGACCTCTTCTGAATGCAGTATTCAAGATGTGGACATGCCATGGATTTATACAGAAGAAAAGGTTACTCACCTTGTGCAGTAACTTCTGTTCTTCGAGATGTGTGTCCCCGTGGGTGCTCCACTACAGGTGTCGGGCTCGTCCCGGCGCCGCAAACCGGAAATTTCTTCATAGCAGTAGCCCCCTCCGGAGGACCGCGCATGCGCAGAGTGTCCCGCGGCGTTCGCGCCTTTTCTGCGTCGCGCGGTCCGACCCGCCAGTTCCTCCTAGCCGGAACATTTGCAAGATACAAGAGAGAGCTCCGAAGCTGGGAGGAGGGCGGGTCGTGGGGGGCGCACACGGACGCCACACCCC